CCTGTTAAAACCAAATCGGTATCCAAATGAGTGTAATTTGATTAATTATTTTAAATTCGGGTTCAAGTGGAACATAAGGTTGATGAAAACTCGGGGACCTCGCCCATCTGATGAGCCCTAGAAAGGAGCGAAACCGGTCATGGGTTGTCAAACAGCTTTCAGCAACGATATGAGTAGTGTTGCTTCTCCCGTTTAAACCGAATTGGTGGGAGAATGATTTTAAGTTCGTACAAATGGGGTTCCAGCAAAAATAAAGGTCGACAAAAACTCGGAGAGTCAGCCGACTCAGTGAACCCGAAGAAGAAGAAAACCGATAAGGTGTTGCACACCGTTCCTAATTAGTCACAGGAAGTTGAACAATGCAAACTAACTTTTTTCAAGAAACTGTTAATGTTTTCTGGGACTGATACCCTGAAACTGTTGATTGTTGATCTGTTCGCCGAGCCTGGCACAGTGCGCATTTGGGTGGGTGTGCGCAACCAACTGCGCACTAATGATGTCTCCTCGTATGGTGACGAAACGTTTGCAAGTCAATTGCCACTATCCACCTGATCAACAACCGATAAAGTCACCCGAGCGCTGAACAGCACCAAGTATTTGGGATTATCATAAGATACGATCCTTCAAAAGCATTGCTGATTGATCATCTCAAACAGCCGTAAACACAAAAAGATTGTCCAATTTGACCTTGAAATCGCCGTATTTTCATTGGCTGGGACTGTAATATCTCACTATTTCAAAGAACATGAATTCTCGTGATAAAAACTGACGTGGAAATGTGAATTCATGACCAAGTTGTTTCACACATCAAAGCAGTTTAAAACTACTTCGCTGACTTTTACCAATTTCATTTGGTGTGACTGCTGCGAACTTTTTTACTTGTTGTAGACAACCCAAACCCTAATCGTAGTTTGAAAAAAGAGATCACGCTATTTTGGTTGCTTGGAGCAAAAAAGCGTACATGTCTAGTTCTTTGTAAGTAACTAAGGGCACACAATATGCTTGGATAATTTCATCATAGCATCCGACATCGACCAAGGTGTTGACCGAAAATTACTCTTCCGGGAGGTTTTATTATCCGGGAGTGACTAAACCAACAAAGTACCGACCAAAACGTACATGTTCTGGGATAGGCCTCTCCGGAATGGGGAAAACTGTGGTTGTACTACTTATGGCAAGCTAGTAATTACTATGCCGACATAAAAAAGGTCCATTGTGTTCGAATTTTGCCTGGGTAAATGGAACAACTTGGTTTATCATCTACCAACAGTCCGCTGGCGAGAAAAATGCACCGAAGTACACCTCTGAGGATACGGGCGGCGGTGTCGTATGCGTTGTATATATTCCCCTAAAGTCTATAGGAAACGACGTGTATCAGTTCGACAATCTTGAAGGTTAGCCATTGGCAGAGAAAGTGAATGAACGCACGAAAGAATGGAGGAACAACTAAGTAAATAGGTGAATAAAAGACAACGACGGTAAGATATGAATGAATGACGGTAGATTCAATGCAACCAGCTTGCCGGAGAGCTACCAAAGTATCTAGGTGGGAATTGCAGCCAACAGCTCGCGAGTTATGTTGACCTGACTTATAGTCCTGCTAAAATGTATGATGAGCATCCGTGAAAGGTCAGAGGTGTTATGATTGTCCGTTGAAGAGATACTTTCAATCTGCCACCCCATTTTTTTGGGTAACCGTGCGTTTTCAGGCCCGCTGGTGTAAAGTATGTTTATAATCTTTTTGTACTAGAAAAATAAATGGAGTCATGTTCAACCAGCTGTTGCATTTTCCGGTGCCTAACTACCATGCCACCAGAGGAAAGTACGAGGGCTTGGATACTGCCAGGTCGCCGAAGCCTAGACAGGGGAAGTTGAGAGGCAGAGGTCAGGTTCGAACCACGGACCTTCCAGTCAGTAAATCCGCGGTCTAACTACTGGACAATTTCACCCACGTTGAATCTCTCCTTTGATGGCTCGGGTTCGATTCCTCTCGATTAATCCTTCATAAGAGGTACACATGTTGTTCCCTCAGTAAGGATGTGAAAGGTTGATTTTGCCTTGATCGACGGGCAAGGAAGTTCAAACAGTCAGAACTAACACATACGCAACTGTTAACTATAGACTGAAATGAATGCATTTTTTATGTTCTCAAACTGAGTATACTGCAACTTTAGTTGAAGACTATCAGGTTCACTTTAAACTGTCGTCACCGTAATTGTCATTTGTAAATACGTGTGCGTACTTTGTGAACTTCATCCAACGTGATGCAAGTAGGATATACAGTTGACGGAAATCGGGATCTGGGCCTTACCTGACGATCCTGATTAAGGAAGAAACTGGTCGTTGGATGTCAAACCATTTTCAGCAACCTTACGAATAGTGTGTTTGTCAACAGAGTATACTATAATATCTCGAATATTGTTTATATGTACTGCATATTCAGCTAAAGAAGAATGTCGTAAATGAAAGAGTGAGTTGGGATTCACTTAATTCTCCTGTTAAAACCAAATCGGTATCCAAATGAGTGTAATTTGATTAATTATTTTAAATTCGGGTTCAAGTGGAACATAAGGTTGATGAAAACTCGGGGACCTCGCCCATCTGATGAGCCCTAGAAAGGAGCGAAACCGGTCATGGGTTGTCAAACAGCTTTCAGCAACGATATGAGTAGTGTTGCTTCTCCCGTTTAAACCGAATTGGTGGGCGAATGATTTTAAGTTCGTACAAATGGGGTTCCAGCAAAAATAAAGGTCGACAAAAACTCGGAGAGTCAGCCGACTCAGTGAACCCGAAGAAGAAGAAAACCGATAAGGTGTTGCACACCGTTCCTAATTAGTCACAGGAAGTTGAACAATGCAAACTAACTTTTTTCAAGAAACTGTTAATGTTTTCTGGGACTGATACCCTGAAACTGTTGATTGTTGATCTGTTCGCCGAGCCTGGCACAGTGCGCATTTGGGTGGGTGTGCGCAACCAACTGCGCACTAATGATGTCTCCTCGTATGGTGACGAAACGTTTGCAAGTCAATTGCCACTATCCACCTGATCAACAACCGATAAAGTCACCCGAGCTACCAATATTTCGACACATTACTCAGAGGCTGATTCAACAGAATTCTCTACGGAAGAAGAGGGACCTACATTCAATCAGTTGACTTCATCTCACACGGTTGTTACCATCTGGTCTCCTACTCAGAATCCTAGATTCGCAGTTCCCACCTGTGCGCAAGCGGTTAACCTGGTCGCGTTAACAAAAACAATAACGATCGATTACTGAGAATTAGGAAATAACATTGGTGCATAACCGGACATGATTCACCTCCAAAATCATTCAGAGCTTAAGCCCTTGAAACTCAACTTAGTGGGCATTTAGTCGGCATATTCGGTAAGTAATGGGGAAAGAAGCCTTCATGTAAGTCGGACGGGGAGAATCTTTAACAACTGAGGTTCAACAAATTTATTGCTTGACTGGTTAGTCCCAGTGACACGAACCAGTCCATAAACGACAGGAGCTGGCGGTGACAACCAGCTCGAATATCTGAAATTCTAGATTCAAAACCCATCAGGTATTCGGTAAGTTTCACATAGCAAAACGAAGGTCAGACGCTTCGTGGCCCCACTGGTCGACAGCGACGAATTATGAACAACTGACTTCCAAATTCATCTCAGGCATTCAATTATTTTCGTACAATCGCGAGAAATACTTCGCCTCAGGATTGAGGATAATTTTAACCGATAACTAAGTCTCCTAATAACCGAAAAAATGGGAATGACGCTTGAGACGCCAAAACATTGGTTGCACTTAACACGTCGATTCATTGCAACACATAAAGACCGAATCGGTTGTGATGGGCGTGAAATTGTGCCATTTATGGAGAGTGCGAACGAAACTGTTGGGGCGATCTATGTCGCCACACGAAATTATGATGATGACGCCACCGGGAGAGCAGCACCTACTATCACCATGGTTTCCTCGCCAGGTTAACATAACCGTCTGCTGTCTAGATTGTTCATGTGTTGGGTCGGGGTGAATATTAGAAGAGCTTAACATTACTTTTTTCGCCGTAAAGGTGAGATTCCCTTTTCCATAAATAATCGGTGCTTGACAAACAAATTCACAGACGCGATAAGAAACAGGGCACTACGATGTTGTTGGAACCGGGAACTGGGTGTTTTTGGCTTACGAGAATGTACGTTTGTTAATAGTTCATTTACCGCATTCGGTGAATAGATTCTTACTGGCAAGATACAAAGTATCGAATTGATGGAAGTAGTGGCTTGTCAACACCCCATGCGCAAACATGCTGTTGTCAGGTGACATTTGGATGCTCATTCTGAAGAGTGGAAGCCATGTTAATGTTTGGGGAGAACGTTTGGCTACTATTTTTGAAGTTCGTATACACGAATATCCGCATGTAGTATCATCAAATAGCCTACACGGATCAGTGTTTGTATCCTAACCGGAAGTTTTGGTCTAAACTAACCCAGGACCTGGGTTCAGCGTGCTCTGCGCCAACACACTTCACTGTGAACACTAGTAAGCTATGAAAAATTTTGGACTGATTCACGTGCCTACTGCTCTAAACGCTTCGTAATTTCGGTCCAATCACACAAGGTAGCAAAATTTATCGATCAGTAGGACCTCCGTCATGTTTCCATTAGCATCTGGCGGCAGGTCATACTTACATTATTAATCAAAGCACACTGAAAAATAGATGATGCAAACAACCGTCTGTTCAAACTTGCCCCATCTCTCCTGATAGTAACCCTGTCTCAGTCATTCACCACATGAAATCGATCAAAACTTCGCTACCTTTCAACAAGCGGCTTCAGAAAACAATTCGTTATCAAAGAGCATGCAACACACCAGGTAGCACGTAATCATGGGAACATGCAACACCTTATCAGATGCCCATATATCAAGCCAAAACTGGAAAAACTGTAAATTATTACCCCTAAATAACTGTGATGCTTCGACCTTGCAGAATGCGGGAACTTACCACCTTTCCGGGCAGCGTAAGTGGGGCAGACCAAGCATTGAAAAACCAAATAAATTGCTAGCGTCAAACGACAGAGTCCAGCATGCCCCATGAAAAATGGTGAATCAAGCAAATGCAGTCGGGTCCCGTTTTCTTTCAAGTTTGAACTGTGTTTGGACATGTTAGCACACTCGCGGTGATTGGGCTCATATTGGATGCAACTGTGGGTAGACACAAATGGGCGTAAAATATGTGGTTAATAGACTCAAGGCGAAATCCATTCACACAGCACTGAAAATAATTCCTACACAAGTCTAGCGGGAAGGTGCGCGTGGTAAAATTATTCCATTGCGGAAGCAGTGTCCAAATTCGTGATTGCGAATGCGTGCCGGCCTTCAAGGGACAAGCCGCAATCTGATTGGTTCACAGCCAGACTAATCAGATTCCGAAGCCGTCCTGGCCACATTGCCACGCGCGCGAGCATGTATGCGCAAGACCGAGTGTAGCAGACGGTAAACGACTAGACTCGACTGAGCGGTAATCAGGTCGAAGCTTGTGGGCATAGGATTGGTTGTCGGTGTTGTAATAACCAGCACGAAAACGAGTGACTCACGTCAGAAACACAGGCCTTACTAACGGAACACCGTACCGGTGCGGATGCATTTGAGGGCAAGGATGACTATTGATTTTGTCGACTCCGGTATGTGTGCTGAGCAGTAATTTTGAACTAGTTTTCACTAAGTGCTTGGTGCGGAAATCTATGGTCATGGCTGCTAGTCAAAACTCTTTTGCTTATCAATAGGGTGTGCACAACATATCCTCAATATTTGCATGCGCTTTTACGCGACGTTTGGTCAGCTGTTTCTTGAAGGGTTCACAACGACGACAGCTGACATCACCACCAAGTAGTGAAGACTGCATGAGCTGCTCGAGACTGAATTTCCGGAATTTTGGGCAGACTCGCTAAGGAATTGATTCAAAAAGCTCAGAAATTGTGGAGTTCAATTCAGTGACGCAAGACAACGGTATCGATTGAAAATCTCCTGATGAGTGCTACCTCTTGGTATGTTAAAACTCAGTGCTGATCGATTTCTGTTTCGGTTTTTATACATTCCTGGAAAACCGGAAGCATGAGATTGATTTGGTCAAGGGCTGATTGCCCTTCAGATTTGAAAGCATATGATGTTTTTGTGTACAGTCAACGTTACAACCCTATCTTTTCCATGTTCTAGGTAAGTGATGAGTTTATTTTAGTAAACAGAGACGAACTGGCGAAAAAGCTACCGGTTTTCACCCGTTCCCTTTTCAACTCAGATTCGATTGTCAGAATTGCAGACAGTTGACGGTTTCCATTCGGCTTCATTGTGTCCATGCGTTGGTAAAATATTTACCTAATGAATGACGGTGCTTATTGGTGGAGAATACAATCTGAAACTGTCTATATTCCATAACTGCTACTGCTCGTGAGGATGATAGAAAATTTTCAAGAGTCATTCCGCAAACCGGTTTCACGAAAAAAGAAAAGGCAAACTTACGTCAAACAAATAACTTATGGTGTTAAAGTCTTTTGTTTGGACCATGCCAACGTCGATGATTTTTTCACGTTTGCAACTTTTGCAACCGGTCGCCAAATACCCAAACAAATTTTTAAACGCGATCGGGTCGTTTCGAAATGGGTATTGAATGTGTGCCTGTCTCATCTTACTGTTTCCAGGGTGAGCACAATATCAGAAGGATCCCTCCAACTGAGTGTCTTTCACCAAGACTAAAAAAACATCAGATAATTTTGGTGGCGTTTTTTGTTACTGTTATCCACCAAAAAGACATCACCAGAACCAAGCAGAAGTTTAAGATATGACTATCGAGCACAAATGCCGTTGGCGCAACTCATTGGTTACTGGTATTTCAAAAATGGCTGATACCAAAGCTCGCACAACGTCCAACAAAACAGAATGATTCATTCCGATTTGGTTGAGCTTAATGGACAATCTGTCGGGATTTAACTGGGTATCGTTTCGGCTAGGTCTTAGTCTGGACCAAACGCGAAAGGTGTGAATTAGTACATCAACCCTGATAGTTGTAAACCATAGAGTTCGCTCTTATATGCGGCTATTCAATGTGTCGTCCTATCCTATCCGTTATGTCGGGAAGCACAATACTGTGACTGTCGTGAGTTGCTCTCAACTGGTGCACTGCTCGTTTGCATACACGCATAGTTGCTGAACAATTGCATCTCAATGTATATCTGAGTCTGAGGTCATACTCACAAGTGGGAGTAATACAGTGAGTACAATGCCATACGATCGATCATCTCTGTCTTCACCTCCCTAGTCTCGCGTTCTCAAATTTTGGGTGAAACCAGATGTACACCACATTTGTGGGTTAGGGAATGCTACTGCGGCCCAAACGTACATGGCACATTTGATTTGTGAAAGGAATAAACGTCCTTGACGCATCTGCTACGACCGCAGCTCAGTGATTGGTTGATTGTTTTCAAAGGATTATTCAACCCTAAGTCAGTGCCCCCTCAATGGTTTGAAATGCGGCTTAAGTCTGGAATGTACACTTTGTAGAATACCCTTCATTTCTTCTGTGAGGATGAGATATCCTGTCAAATAGCCAGGTGTACATTACAATAATTAATGGAGTGACTAAAATAGAGAAGTGAATTTTGATTCCATCAAGATTGTCAAGCGACTGGTTTCTTCTAAAAATGACCCTCTGGTCCAACTTTGTGCTTCCGTGGTGACCTCAGCCAGTAAATCCTTCTTCACCCAATTAGCCTAACCAATAAGATGACCAAGTTTTTGTGTTCTTGAGGTGTTTTACCGATATGTACATCGAAAATATTGATCTGTTTATCACTAATTCATTAGGTGTGATTTACTTACATGTTCAAAGTTTGGTTTTTGGTCAGCCCTATATCAAAGATCAACGATGGATTATTTCACACTGGGCATCTAATGAGAAGATTAGTTGACCAATCAGGAATCGCGTGTATTGCAAAAATTACTGTAGTTCAGAGGCGCCACGGGTGTAGAAGCACTGTAAAACTAATGATGAGTCAAATCTAGTTGTATGAAGTAGTATCAACTGCATTGACAGGGCTTTGAGCTGTGCACACCTATGGCGTCAGAATGGTTTATCCCTGAATCTGAAGGGATGTGTGTATCAAGCTACAGTGCGGGCTGCCTTGTTGTAAGGCTGCGAGCAGCGAAACGGAGACGTCTTCAGGTGTTCGACAATCGTTGTCTCAGAACCACAGCTCGTGTGGGTTGGTCGGCGAATCCGTAAAGAGGCAGTTAGAAAGCGCATTTTCGGTTGTGCAATGGAGACTTCCATTGAAGAATGTGTCCAACACTAGAAGCTGCTTTGGTTGGGACGTGTTGCGTTTGCCGAACCATAGTTTGCCGAAGAGAGTGCTGTTTTCCATGCCCAATTCAGAGGGGCATAAACAGAGAGGCGGCCAACCCTTGACTTGGCAGAGGACCATGAAAGAGATCACGAAACGCTTGGGTGCTGTCGGTGCTACTCGCCTTCCAGGATGGGGACCGCGTGATCCTCACTGTGCCTGGTTAGAGACACTGCAAGATATGGCTGCCAACCGATGTCAGTAGCGTTCTTGTTGTCCGTTTCTATCCAAATTGCCTGAGTGAATGTTTGGAGGTGTAAGCACCTCGGAATGATTGTGTTAAGCTAGCACTAAGTCCCTCCCCTATCCATCTTTATTCTTTTCTTTACAATAAGGCCTTCAAATAAATCATGGTTGTACCGCAGTGAAGCATCGCTTTTGGACACCGATGACATGCATTAAATACTGTCAAATACAGTTGAGTATTCATTCATATTCTAACAATTTGGTGAACATACTGATGGCTGGCTTGCAAGTTCAAGGAATTGTCAAAAGTAACATTCACATTGAAACGATAGTTGGAATTCTCCAGGAAGAAAATTTTTTTTGGGAGGTGCACAATTGTCTTCGGTCGGTCTGGATAAAACACACTTGCCATAGTTCAATCTTGTAACCCCGCTGTGCGTGTGTAGACAGCTTGTATCGCGGTTTGCAACTATCGGTTAATTTGCATTCAGTTATCCCTGTTGAGGAACCGGTTTTTTTTTTTTTGAATTGGCAAGCCATCATTCCTGATACCAAAGGTATTCGCACACCTTGCCTGCTATCTCTTCAGTATTCCGCCTGCTCCACGCCGTGATGTCAGTGGATATAATCGTTTGTACCTTTATAAGGTGAACCGCATTCATTCACGTGCCAACACACACACACACACGCAAATTCATAAACCAAGGAAACCACCTCCATAGAGTGGTGGGGTTTTACAGAAAAGCGGTCAGCGGGAAGCCTGCAAACAAAATACCAATTCACTGCCTGTTGTTCGCATAACCTCATGTATCACGTGACCCAACCTCAACTGCTCAAAGCAGGGTTTAGCTGCCTGTCAAGAAAACGTCAGCCGTGAAAGTCGGTGGGGCTGTTAAGAGCCGTTTATCCATTGGTTTGTCTCACAAACTTAGAAAAAAATGTTCTAAGGCTTTTCAGGTAAACTTGTTCGAATCCCAGTAGATGTGGTGCTCCTGGCATCAGCAAGTACATTCTTGAAAAGCCGTTTAAAGAAAGGGATAATTAACACCAAAAATGAATTCAGTCAAAAGTGGGCTGTTTTTTATCAATACTCCCTCGACATTGATGGTTGCAACATCAGGCACAGTTCAGCCTTGACTAAGTGCTTTGTAAAATGGCTGTTTTTAACCCCTCATATCTCCAGTGTTTGCGATCTTTACACGCCTTTAAACACCTGACTCAGCTGACGCTGCAATCACTCGACTCATGAGAACGTTGTAAGGAGTCCAAAAATGGTCTGTTCTGGTTGATGATCTCCTCCAGAGGAGTAGTAGGTCGATACACATATTTGGAAGGCTTTTGAGGAACCATAAACGACAATGTCCCATTGATGGGGTTGTGAGGAGATCTGAGAATTTTCAACTACGTCCGATTTTGTCCTGTCAGTCAACTCTATTGAAGCTGAAAAGCCGAGGAGTCTGTACCGTTGTTTCATCCTTACCGAAGCTTCATCTCGTTTAGTCTGGTGCAGATCACACAGCACTGTGAACGCAGCTCACGGCCAGACGGATGTGTTCAACTACCGGCCGGAAGGTCGCGGGTTCGATACATCATGGAGTTTCGTATGAAGCACTGACTCCCAAT